GACTCGACGAGATACCTCGGGTATGGCTCGACGACGGCTGATGCGGTTGGAAAACGATTTCCAGTTTACATTGCAATCGAACCGCGAGAACACCGGAATTTACCTTGGAATTCGTTTCGCGCGTGGACCACGGTCGGCTGTCGTGTTTGCGGAATTTTCTTATTTGCTTTCGTGTCCGCGTGATCGAGTGACGTTGTTACCGATGCGATGGATACAATTAACGAATATTTTTGGCATATTTGCGTTAATTAAAGGAGCTTTTATCAATATACGGATTTGTTTTAGAGTTTAGGTAGTTGCGTAATTGTGAACAGCTAATGGGACTTAAAAGTGTCCTATTTATATATTTATATATTTATATATTTACTTTGTATATATATTTATATATATATATATATATTTATTCATAGAGGATTTTTATGTATGATTTCTGTCATCAGTTAGTGTCTTTCAAGCATCTTTTGTTAATTCATGATTTTCTTATCAATGCACATAATACGTTCTGTGATCCATTCTATTATTGATCAGACTTCAATTATAATTAGAAATACGTGTTTATTTGTGCTTTATTTTAACGTTTCGCACAGCACATGCAATACATTCATAAAAGATTTTTGTATTTGTTCGAACATCTTTGTGAACAATTTCTATTATTAGTTAACAAACTTAAATTACAATTAGATAATTATAATTCTGTTGTATATTGTTTTAACATTTTTCGTATGACACATGTGGCAGATATACTTATAAAATATTTCTGTATCCACTAAAGTACTTTTATAAACCATTTTTACTATCAGTTAGTTATTTATTATATATTAGTTAGTTATTTATTATATATTTATTATATATTAGTTATATTAGTTAGTATTATATTTATTATATATTAGTTGGCCATATTAATTAGTATTATATTTATTATATATTAGTTAGTTATTTATTATATATTTATTATATATTAGTTAGTATTATATTTATTATATATTAGTTGGTTAGTTATTATATATTTATTATATATTAGTTAGTTATTTATTATATATAAAGTTAATTATTTCAATTATAATCACAAGTATGTCTCTGTATGCTCTGTGTATATATCTGTGCTCATGACACGGCTTGTTCATTCCCTTTCTATTTTCAGTTTCTTCTCTTGCATTATCAATTAGTATGCGTACGAACCTCTCGTTGATTTCTAACTTACGAATATAATTCACAAAAAAAAGTCTTCATGTTTGTTCTAAGGATCATTCCTTACATCACCGATTAAACTACATATAACTAAGCACGAAATGAATCTCTCGTTAATTCGTTATCTGTCTCGTGCGACACGCATAATGTAACTCGTAAAAACTTTCCATATATTCGTCGAAATACCTTCGTGAGGTGTTTCATCCTCGATTATATATAATAATATCTCGATATCTAGTGTCAATTCGTAATTTTATTGTGCTGACATTTAAGTCCCGCAGCTCGTGATGAAAAGTTCAACAGCAACAGCTGAAAAACAGAGAATATCGCTCCTCGTATTTTTACACGGAAGAACCATCGACACCGGTTTCACAACAGACCGTCCGTTAAGGTTCGAATCGCTTTGGTATTGTGTTCGAAAGAACATATCCGTTTTCAATCATCGATGAATCCAATAGTTCCGGCCTGAATTACGTAATTCAGCTGCGTAATGCGTTTAGCGGCAAAGCACGAAAGTCAGGCGAATAGATCGCGATACGAGATTTCCGGCTCGGCTCGATTCCTCGTTTGAACTTTCCAACGTTTAATTATCGAAACTATCCGATGCAGCTTGTGAAACATTGTTCCAGCTTCCCGTTTTTGCGTACCCGCTGCCGTATTGACACAATTTCCGATCGATCAGCCGTGCTGCAACGCTCGCAAATCCTCGCCGCGAATGCATTGAAATTCGTTTCGTTTCGTTCCTTCACAGTTTCCTGTTTGCACAAAATCGGGGGGATTTCTAATAACGAAAACTGGAACCGACGTAACCACCAATTCGACTCTGTTTTCTATTTTTTTTTCTCTTTCTTTCTTTCGTTTCTTTTTTGGGGATACACCATCACTCAGAAATAACGTTTAATTTGCTTTTTTTTTTTCCTCTTGCAGAATGTAATTTAACCGGTTCAGAATCAAAACCGAAACGTTTCATTTGAAATTCTTTTAATTCGTATTATTAAAAATATTATCAAATTCTTTTAATTTATTTTATTATATGTGCTGCATTATGTCATATATCAATTTTATTATCGATTATACCATGTCCTCTATATAATTTCGTGAAATTTCTTTAAATGAAAATTTATTTTCTTAGCTCATTATGATTTTACGCAGTGAATTTACAAAGTAAATTTTCAGCAAATATCTTTATAATTACGAAGCTGATAATCTTTTGATCAAGTGTAGTTAGTACTTCTAAGCGATAATGTGTACAACACTCTTGCGAAGAATTTCACTTCCTTAATCTATCAGTTCAGAATCTCCACGAACAAATCGCGAGAGAACATTTATTACGAATCGATCAATCGAAAATTTCGTTGTGGAACATTCAGACTTATACTTTCATATCTTTTATTATGCATCATTTCAATCTAAAGTATGAAAATGCGATTGAAATGTTTCGAATGTATGATAAAGATAATATTACGGAACTTTATAAGTTAATCGTTTATTCTAAAAAGTTTGTTCGAAAACCCAACAACGACTTTCATCAAGAAATTCGTCGAATCTCACGATCTCACGATCTCACGATCTCTCGATAATTCTTCCACGAACAAAACCCAGTTCCAGATAAATCCGACCAACTCGCACGCAATCGAGCAACGAATCACCCTTCTCTAAGTTTCGAAGTCCTCTTTCGAGATTTCCGTTCATTTTCATTCGGGACTCGTCGAGTGCGAGCCGAGACGATCGATCGACAGCCACAGTCACAGGTTTCCAAAACGGCGAACGAAGCGAACGCACGTGGCGCCCGTGCCGATCCGGCTATGTAACAACAACAACGAGTCCAGTATTCTTCAGAACTTGGGCGACACCAGTCCATTCGAACCTGCGACTTTCCCGCTTTGAACAGTCCCAGAATCGAAAACGAAACCGACACGAGACGGCACGCCGGACAAAGCGTGTTCGAACACTGGCGCATAGTAGGTGGATTGGAAACGGGTGGTTCGAAAAGGAGGAAGAGGGTCTCACCTTCTGGGGCGTCTTCCAAGTGAAGGAGGGTGCGGCATCGTCGTGGAAACGCAAACAGAAACGTATGAATGCGATGGTGCTGGTGCACCTTGCCTAGCTGGGTGCGTTCGTGTGACCGATTGTGGCAGGTGTGGGTTAGGCTCTATGGTGTTTGAGAGCGTGTACGGACGTTGGGCATAAGTGAACCGTGGGCATACGCGTTGCACGTGTGATCAACGTCGCGTGACGACACACCGATTCGCAGGAAAGAGGCTCGCGATTGTGAATCGGGCCGAGGATACGTGTGCCCTATGTATCATGATTCTGATCGGCTCGTATTTGCCGCAACAGCACGTGAATGATTGTAGAAAAATGTACAAATCGATGACAAATTGATCAAGTGTGAGATATAAGTTGCGAGACGTTCATGTAATTACAGTTTCTGGCCAATTAGAATTAGAGTCAATGGAAATTTTTAATATCTTTTACTTTTAGGAGTTATCCATCCTATCCCAGGTACTTACAACAGTGAGTGAATTTTATCAGAATTTACAAATTAATACAGCCTCTGGATAACGAGTTATTTGTCACTGTCTCACTAAAGCCACAGTAAAATATTAGCAATCAAATCATAATAAAAATTAGTAACAAGAATAATTAGTAAAATTAGTAATAAAATTTTAGTAATGACGTTCATGTAATTACAGTTTCTGGTCAATTAGAATTAGAGTCAATGGAAATTTTTAATATCTTTTACTTTTAGGAGTTATCCATCCTATCCCAGGTACTTACAACAGTGAGTGAATTTTATTAGAATTTACAAATTAATACAGCCTCTGGATAACGAGTTATTTGTCACTGTCTCACTAGAGCCACAGTAAAATATTAGTAATAAAATCATAATAAAAATTAGTAATAAGAATAATTAGTAAAATTAGTAATAAAATTTTCAGTAATAAATTTACTATAATTAGTAAAATTAGTAATTATATAAAGATTGCAACAAAATTAAATTGTTCAGATAAATGTTTAAGTAAACGAGTTTTAAGGGATAATTATGAAGAGGAAATTTCGATCTTCTAAACTACGATAGATTTAATAATGAAAAACTGTTCAAAAATATACCATGAACGTCTTGCTAGAAGAATTTCAAATTACTGAAATTATCTCAGTTAGATTTCAACTGAATATTCTAGCCGTAGTCATTAAATAAATTAAATTTTTTACAAAAGTTTTGAAACCTTTCAGTGAAAAGAACTGTGTAGAATCGTGCATTGTTCTCATAATTCAAATTCAGAAATTTAGAGATTGTCGTATTTGCCAAGGTTCGATTATATTTGCTCGTCTTCTCGACTAAAATAGACTAAAGAGGATCAAAAAATATTATTTATCAGGGGATTTTGTACATTTGTTTCAACTGAACGTGCTTCACGGGGTAAATTCATTTAAAGATTAAAACGCAACGTACTCAGTCTGTTATTTCAATTTTTGCATCGATTATTTGTTTCACAAGCAAACAGCGGAGTAATTGATTATTTCTTTGTACGTATATCACTCGTGTATGTACACACTGGTGGATTTATCGTGATATATCGTGGGATAAAGCATCGCGCGTCACGTGCTCAATTAATTAACAAATTTATTCTATCATCTGAACATGTATAGATTGCTTCAAATCTATGCAAATAACGAGAATTCACGTTCCTATTAACTGCATCAACAGTAATAAATAGACTGCGAATTTTTATGCACTTACTCCGTACTTGTCTCCGTATTTATGTAATTTATTAAAAAATAAATTAACAATATGAAAGATCACTCACTTGTTTCGTTCTTCTTTGAATCTGTCGTTACGATGCGAGTATTCGACGTAGTCGTAGTTTTCGTTGTCGTCGCCTCTGTAACACAATAAATCAAAAATTGTTTATACATGTTTCATTCTTATCTAGAAAGTAAAAATAATTGAAGAGTTGAAGAGAATACAGTTGAGAAGCTTTTTACTTTTAATGCAAATATTTCCAACATAGACAGATAATTTAATTCTTAAACTTTATTTGAAGCTTTGGGATGTCATTTTGGGATGATTTAATGTACTAATTATATTGTAATGATCAGTGTATTAATAATTGAAAGACAGACTTACTGCTGAGAATTTCGGTTGTATTTTCCTGCAGACTACTTCTATAAATTCGTCTTTTCGGAGAGCCAATATTTTCCCTGTAAACGAAAATAGGATTCACATTATTTTAAAGTTGAATAAACATATTTATTATGCATATCAGTTTATTTTGATTGCTCCATTTAAAGTATAAGCAGACGAGACTCGTCTCTAATAACTTTCAGTTCGATTAGTGAAATTAATGAATGGAAATTGAAGCGATCGGAAAAGAATTCAAACATTTTGTCAAACGATAAGTTATAATTACACAGAATGACAATTCTTACATTTCAATTCTACCTCGGATCATTTTTCTCTTTAATTCCACTGTTAATAAGTTTTTTAAATTCTAAGAATTACAAAAATGTTATTGAACATTTATTGCAACTTTGTGTTATGCAATTATCTTTATTACTTGTTTTCAAACTTGTTTCAAATTTGAGATACAAAATGTCGAGAGCCGCAGTAATGAAGACTGATTCGTTAAATGATCAATTCACTAAGTACGAGTAAAACTCATTGTCAACGTGAAAGAATGAGTTTTTAATTAAATAATTACTATAACAAGTAAACCCAGTATCTAAATGTTATTTCGCGGAAGTGTATCATCTCGTTGCGTATCGTTGCTTCGTGCTTTACAATTAGTGCATACGTAAACTTAGTTAGTGAAATTAGGATATCTGCGAGGCGAGCGGACAAATTTCATTCGTTAATAAACAGTGGGGGAGGGGGCGGTGGAGAGAAATATGTAAAACGACTTACTGATTCAAACCGAGCTTCAAGTATTCGCCGGCGTTTCGTAAGAGTGCATGTGCTTCGCTGTTCGTTAAATCCCGGGTAGTTCTTCCATTTATGCTACTAATTAAATCACCCTCTCTCACCCCCTGTTGAGCTGCTTTGCTGCCTGGATTAACCTGCAACGAAAATTCAAATTTGTACCTCAATTAGAATGAAATTTGTGAGCCGTGCGTTTCGTGCACTTCAATTCACTTCTTAATTTATATAAGCGGAATGTGCCGCGCTTTTTCTTCTTTTCTTTTTCTTTAAAAAGGAAAAATTATCGTTACAGGCCAGTGTTAAGAGAAAGCTACAGTACGTGTCTTGCATCAGAGGAACGTAACTGCAAAGAATTATATAAGTAATTATAACGTCAGATTTTATTTGTTACGTTCGGCGAAATCGTTAGAAATTCAAAAATTTGTATATCTAGCGGATGTTTATGCAATTTTATACTTTTATCTGTAGAAATTAGTTTCATTTAATGCTCTACCTTGCGACATTTTACATAGTTTTGCACGTTTTTATGTGAATTATTATTTTATAAATTCTTGGAATCTTAAATTTCTCAAAAATGCATTAACATCCGAAAAACGATTTATTAGTTAATTTTTATAAAACTTTTAGTTGACAAACTATTTATACAGTTCTTGTAAATAATATTAATAAAATAGTAGAAAATTCTAAAAGAAGAAAATTGAGAAATTATTTGAATAAAGACTGGCTGTTAGACAGTTTTGTCTTTGTGAGAATTATTGTTAACAAATAATAATTATGGATCAGAAGTAACTGACAAGCACCTCCATAATGGACATGGAAAACAAGTAATACATCATCTCACCTAGACAACAAGCGTATACATCAAATATTTTCCATTGATAAGCTATATATAAGTTGTCAACCTTATTTAATAAGTTAATCAATCATTGTCACTTTACTGATATTATTTTATAACATTACATTATGTTCATTTATACATTTTACTATACACGGTACAGTGGATACTTTGTATAAATTACATTATATCATAAATTATTAAATTCTATGTAAAGCATATTATATTTATATCTTTGCGATATCTATCCGATACATTGTACTTATTTTTACACTCTCGCGTTTCTCTTAATATAATATAATAAAAATCCGTAGTCCACTAATGAAGTTGAAACGATATATTTATAGAAAGTTCTTACAGGAGAACTAACTAATTTCGAGCGAGTTCAGTGTAAATGTCCACGCTGTGTCAAATAGTTCATATTCTCGAAGATATGCCTGTGAGAAAAAATGGTGAAGAGGCAACGCGGACGATGAACAACATGAAAGATGAACCGCGTTCGTCTCGAAATTTACTCATTAAACTTTAGTTTGCCGCTTAAGATTCTCACCGTGTAGCTGCACTTTCGTTGTCCCGACGCTCGAAACTTCAGCATGGTTGGAACTTCCTTCACGTACCGGGGCCTGTCGATATGTCAATAAGAACAACAACGAGGATCGTAACAAGCAATTCCCAGCTTCGCCTACTACTTTTTTCTTCCGCCAAGCTAAGTTTCAGCGAACGTTAATTAAAAAAGGTAGAGGTAAGCTGCAAGATAGCCTACGATATAAATCACTGAAGTAGAAATATTTCGATTTTATAGCTGTCGAATCGTTTTACAGATATATATATATATATATATATATATATATATATATATATATATATATATATATTACTGATATTAACAATTGTGTTAATATTATTTTATCATCATCAAATTAATGAACTCATAAGCAAAATGCGACTGTCAAATTTCCCACAAATACATAAAATATCACCATGTAGGTTCTCCAATTTCCATTAAATTATACCAACTACGATTAATCCTTGTCGTCAGCTAAAAACTACTTGTCGCGAGTGAATAAATAAACCAAGGTAAACTGCTTATCTCGTCAGGTTCGTGCGATAAAATCATTAATCAAAGGAATAAATTTCCAGGGGAGGGGAGGGGTTGAAAGGTCAATTATAACGAGAGAGCTCTCGCGGATCAGGAGATCCGAGTTATCGAAAGTCGTCGACCACGCCGTTGAAACAGGTGCGAGAAGCGTCGACTGAGCTCGAATTGAAAAATTGCGACGATGAAGCACGGTGACAGCGACGTGGAAGGAGAAACGGAAACCGAGGAAATTGTTGAAAAGCTGCGCGACGCGGCGCTTTGCGCGTGTGCGAATGTATCGCCGTCACATCGACGCGAGTCTTTTCAACCAACGTAACAACACGGTATCTTCTCTGACTGAGGCTCCGTTCACAATTTCCGCGCAAATTACTCGTAAATTGTAATTGTCACTGTCACCGTCGGCGAACAACTTTTCATCCCTGCTGGGGAAGAAGAAAAATTCTGCCTTCGTCCGTTTTTTTAACTTGATCTCTTGAGGCGATGAATTTTTAATACACCTGTTGTATTTGCGAACTGTCGAAATTTTGAAAAACAAGATCAACAATAATAATATAGATAACGATAAATCTGAGCTCGTTTTAAAACTCGAAGCATTCACTTGTAAAACGCGCCATTCAGACATTTTTCATATCGCGTAATGGATGGAGAAATGAAGACAAATAAATAACAGCGCGTACAGAACGTTGAGAAACTTTTCTCTAGAATGGATTCGAAGATTGAAGCCTCCCCTTTACAATGATGTCCGAAGTCTTTCCTAAATCTTGACGTATGATTTCATTTCGCCGTTTTATCAAATTTTGAGTGTTGGAAAATTCGTGAAATTTTCATAATAAACATATATTCGTTTTTGCTCGATAAAAAAATAAAAAAAATTCATCGATTGAGCAATACCACTCTATGTATTTACTTTTTATAGTGCAGTTGTATTTCTAAGAAATAGAAGTGATTTTAAAATATTCAAAATACCATTATTGTCAGAGTGAACGTTAAATTCATGGAGATTGCATACAAATCCACGATCTAATAATTACTTCGGCCCATGTGATATTATTTTTACAAGTTACGAGCAGGTTTGACTAGTTTACTCTACAGCTTCTCTAATTTCAGGTTTCATTTTCTTCTTGATATTTATTTTCGATGCCATGTTCTGAATACATTATTATACACTCATACATTATTATACTACGTAAATATAGATTTAGCGGTTTCTAAATACTGATTAGAAGTATTATCCTGTTTTCCATTTTATTTTAATTACGTAAAACAAATAACAACAAATTTTAACGGCAATTTCAGCTTACAAATATAAATTAAAAAAAATTACTGGCAGAGTAATCCTTCGATTTGTAATTATTTTAATTGTACAAAAGAAATGATAGAAAATTATATCTGATAACAAGAAATCAAGTTTCTACAAACTTTAGGAAATAGAATGTAAAAATCGTTGGTTAAAAATGTAAAATCGATTAAATATCAAGAATAAATGAGATCGTGGAAACATTTAAAAATGTTTCATGCATCACTTCTCGTAATGCAATTTTCTGTGTGTGTCTCTCTTTTGAAAAGCATGTGTTTAAATACTTTTTTAATAAGAAATCAATGTTCACTCGAGTTACACGATTTCTAATGTAATTTCAGTGTATAATTTTTCCTAACATTAAATTTAAATTTTTTTAATTCTTCTTCTGAATGCGTTTTCTTTAATATTTGACGATTCTCAATAGAAAAGAGAAGAAATTACTTCAAATAAAATAAAATAATAGAATTTAGAATTTTAGGAAACGGAGAAATTTTATTGCATTCAATTTTTTATAAAATCAAATTTGAAACTCGAACTGAATTTGTAAGGAAATTACTTTGTATCTAATAAAATGAAATAATTGTGAGAAAATAGAAAAAGATCTCTTTGGAAACAAGGAAATAGCGTCTACGATTAAAAAAAGCTATAATCAGCATATTAGCAAACGAACTGACTTACCGACTTGAAACAAACGCATGATTGCATAGCGCGCTATTCTCGAGGAACACGGACAATCACTGAACTACAAATGAAAGAGCCTAGGTTTTACCGATCCGGAAGTACTCGACGTGTAATCATTATTACATGATAGAACATTATATAAAATTCATTCGTATTTTATGAAATCAATTTCATTTGAAATCTGTTCGATAATTTACTAATTTTATAATTTTATAATGCTACTTATACGATTCTATTATAAGATTTATAAAGAGTTCTTAAAAGAATATTTTTTCAAAAATATCTATATCTATACTAATTTCTGCCAATTACTGAAAATTTCTATACGATTCATATTGTAATTTCTCGTCATTATATTTCACTGCGATCAAATAATAATTGTTGTAAATGCCTAACACGTAAAATAATTAGGTAATTAGGAATATTCTGTATCAGAGCAAAATTCAGAAATCTTTCAATTATTTCCTTCATAGTGAGGATAAAAATATAATAAAAAATGATAATAAAATAAGCAAATGGAATTGAGTCAAGGGATAAGATATCCAAGAGTTCATTACTTCAGAGAATTGGAGTTTCAGGCTACGCTGAAACAGCAGACTGCCCATTGGGAATACAGTACAAACTATCTGCAGAAACCAACTGCGATCTATATACGTTATATACATATATTTGCTATTCGTATATCCGAATGAATTAATTTGTTGCCGCTAAGAGACATCGTTATCATTCATTAAAATTGTTATATAAGTTACAGGCAAACCTGCATGTCATGCATTAGGTCACGTGTTGAAAACTCGTGTTACACTTTATTGCAATCGACACGTATGAAAATGACAGAAACAAATAAATATTCACCTCAATTTCCTAGATATATCTAGCTTTCAAATGAAACAGAAGAGAGATGAAAAAAATTAAAAATGACAGAGTTCAGAATTCATTTAACACGACACGACTAAATAGAGTCACCAACCACGTACGAAACCTATGATCAATTTTCACGCGTGAAGAATACAAATAAAGACACGCTTTCCCTCTCATTTAAATACGCACACCTCTCAAATAAAACGAGAACCGAGGAAAGGTTCAAATTGTCTGAGGAACGCGTGTGAGAAATTTGTACAAATAATTAGAAAAGGACGTGTCTTCGAGTGAAACGAGCGAGATGGAGACAATTTGAAAAGCTAAGGGAAGGAGACGAACGGGGGCGTGAATTCGCCTAATA